TGCAGAATGTCTTAAGCGGTCCAATGCACAACTTAGTTCTTCAAAAGAAAAGGGGTCATTCATACCGTCAGAAGTTGGCAAAGAGGGATTAATAGCGGTAGATGGTTCTGAAAGAACAAAAGGTCGAGGGCGCCAATTTTGTAATGAAATGTGTTGGATCTTTAGACGACATGTTATTATAGTCAGTTTGAGGATAGGATTTTACCCTGTTCCAGACTATGGTCGGGTGGATGCGGGGCTCCAAAAATTGGTGTGAGGCTAGGCGGAGAGTCTCCTACAGAAATTACGATAGGCAAATGGTCGCTTCCAAAAGAGTTAAAAAGAACAAGCCAGGAGATAGAAGGAACTAAATTTGGAGAGGCTAAGGTTAAGTCAGGGGCGCTGGCGTTTTGAAGGGGGGAAGTTCTACGTGTAGGAGTGCCGTCATTAATTATACACAAATTTGTGCTGTCCAGAAGGTCAAGGAAAGAAGGATAGAGAGTCGGAACTGTGAGATCCCCACAGTGTATGACGAATATTAAAATTTCCTAAAACAATAAGGGGGCGTGGAGGGTTGAGAGGATCAAGGATAGTTCTGTGATGAGGTCAAGCTAGGATGGGGTATGTAAACAGAGACAAATTATTTGTTTTGCGCTCTAATAGCTACAGCATGGAGACCTGTGGAGTGCGTAGGAATGGGAAGTTGTGAGCATGTGGTGTTCCTTTTCACTATTAGGACGCATCCAGCCCACCCATCATCCCTGTCATCCCGAGGGCACGCATAGCCAGGAACTCTGAAGAGGTCTCCTGGTTTTAGTCAAGTTTCCGAAATGCCAACAATTACAGGTAGATACTTTTTGATGAGAAAAGTAAGCTCGTGTTTTATTTAAATATTACGGGCGTTCCACTGCAGAATTGACGCCATTGTTGGTAAGAACAGATTGTAATAATTTTGAGATCATAGTTTGTAAAATTTCATGGCCATTGTACGGTAAGATGTCACTGAATTTGGAAAGAACATTTATTAGTAAATTAGTTATATTATCGGACAGGTTGTCATTTGGATTAATAGAATGAGGGATATGATTCTTTGAAGAGTCCTGGAGAGAACACCATAAGGTTGTGTAGATTTTGAGGTAGACGTAATAATGTTAAGTGGCTTTGTTCGTATTTGTGGTGACTTTTCCTAAAGGTTGTCTTGCAATAGGATATGGTAGGTAGTCTGGGACTGTATGCGGGCAGGGGTAGCAGGAGGGGACCTAACTGTTTGGGGGAGTGGAGAGAAGAGGGGGTCAAGGGGCGTTGGGTTGGAGATGTCGTGTCAACCTATGATTTTCGGACAGAGCTGAACCGTCTGGAAGCTTCTATGTACCCGATGTTTTCTTCAGCCATCACTTTTTTTATTAACTTTTGGCGTGAGTGCTCAGGGCACCTTGTGTCAATGGTTTTATGGGAGCCAGAACAGAAAAGGCAAGATACTGCTGCATCTCGTATGGTGCAGGAGGGGCTATCATGGTTCTGAGCGCATCGGGAGCAGCGAGGATGTGGACGGCATCGCTCAAGGAAATATCCAAAACGGCAGCATTTGTGGCATTGGATTATGGGGAGAGCATATACGAGAGACATGTTAAAACAGAATACTTTCTCTGGAAGGTTCTAACCCAAAAATGTATTAACTTTATTGTAAATAACATTAATGTATTAATGTTATTAAATTGTGGTTAATAAACATGTATTAACCACAGTGGCAGACGGTTCCCAAGTAGTTTGCCCCTCAACTATTCGTTTTTTATTCAGCCTTTATAACTTTAACGTCTGGAGGACATTTGATGGAGTGGAACAACTCCTCAAGAGTCCACTCCATGGTGATTTGGCGGACTACACCATTGCGAGGGAGGTGAAAGCGGGGAATCACAGCGGAGAGTTTTTGTGAACTGAGGAATGGGCTCGCAATAAACTTGTTAGCATCCAAGGGTGCATGGAAATAAACTGCTACCTTGTCCCTGCCAATGCTTTTTATTTCTAAAATTTCCGATACTTTGCCGTTGTAGATAGTTTGGACTATTTTCAATGCTCGAATTGAGCTAGTGGTAGCGAAGGAGTCGCTCACTGTGCGAGTAACGTGGACAAGAAAGGGTCCGGAATCATTGTTTGTATATTTCAAATCAAAGTTACTTGCGTAACCCTCTAGGGTATACGTATGTTGTACCGATACAGACGGCGGGAGCCTTATCTTCTTAGCGGCGCTGTCAACGTCCGTGCAGGCAGAGCGTTTGCCCTTTTGGCCGCAGGTATTAATTTCCATAGAACTAATAGACGGAGAGATGAACAGAGAACGGGGCCCCTGTCATGGGGCTCCGCCTCATTCTCAGAATCGGTAAACATAAGGAACACGTTCAACTACGTGATTGGTCGTACATTACTTATTTATGCAATATAAATCCGTTGGTATATTTTATTCTTATTATTGTTGACATTAAATTCACAATGATAAGTAATTGTGTTTGTTAAATTATTATAATGCGTCGAAGAACTAAAATTAAAGAATTTCAATAATCACGCAATCACACAAAATTATAAGTATTGTACTGTATTTTATGACAAAATATGTATAACAAACAATTATAACAAAATAGTGGAGTAATTTCACTTAAAAAGTAATTGAATATCAATTCAATAAAAATTTAAAATACAATATAAATATAATAATATACAGTGGCTTAGTTGGTATAGCATCTGGCACGGAATGCTAGAAGACGTCGGTTCGAATACGGCCGGATTGAAGGATTTTTTGTGAGTGTTCGATCTTTGTATTGATAATTATAACAAAGTAGTGGAGTAATTTCACTTAAAAAGTAATTGAATATCAATTTAATAAAAAATTTAATATTAATATGTTACCAAAGACCACATAAATTTTCTTTCTTCCGTGATTGTTACTTTGTTACGACTTGATCGAATCCGCGGTCCGACGCATTTTTACAAACCCTGAGCTAGATTTCCATGCTTACACACGCCGCCACCGCTTCGGTGACGGCATCTCAAGTCTAGCAACCCTGCTGCGGCGCTATGTCTATATATAGATTCGTTCTGGGCCTTTTGAAGGGAAAAGTGTCGTTTTTATTTTGACTTTCAATTATTTTGTGAAATCCAGTTTAAAGTGGAATAGGATAGTGCTATTGTGCCTTAATCGAAGATTAAAACGCGAAATTATACGAGTCTCAAATTGCCTATCCTCTTTGTGGTGGTCATATTTGCAGAAATATAATTAAACGTTTATGTTTTCGGCTGAAGGACTTTGTTTCCATGGCCAGCAATAATTTAAAAAAAAATAGCTATGTCTATAAGTCCCTAGATGTTACAGCATTTTTAATTAAAACCTGTATAAAAAATATATTATTAACTTTCCTGAAGCTCTCTTCATTCTGTTAGAAAAAAAAGGTTTTTTTTTAAACTACGATTTTATTAACATGCATAAACCAAAATGATATTTTGTAATAATTTTACGAATAAAATTAATGTCAAGTTTATTTTTACTTAGAAGTATGCTCAGATTGCATGGAACAAACAAAATGCAAAACGGTTTTGCAGAAGGTTCTTAAAACCATACAGGGACGCGAACTATATGTACACATAATATGAAACAGCAAATGAGATCTTATTAGGCTTCAGAGAAAGATACAAGAACGCCGCATACAGAACATATCAGAATAATTTAGAGTGAGTGTTTAAAGTGCTTTATTAAGTGTGTTATAATGGTGCGGTGCGTACAGATGTAGCGAATGAGTCGTAAATGCGCCTGTTTGCGAAAGGCTCGCGAAATGCACACGTGCTTTATGTTATGGGATCTGGTCGCGTACCGTTCGCGCGACACATATGTTTGCTTGCCTGAAGAGGCGCATTTAACTGCACGCATGCAGCACACGTGAAGCGCACATGAAGCGCATTCGCCAGATCTGTACGCACCCTTAGACAACATTAAAGTTGCCATTGTATTCGCGAATCTACTGTATGAAAAAAGATAAGAATGAAGAAGAAATTTAAAATCACAAATCAACTTTATACCTCTCTTTGTTTAGTGTTAGGTGTAGAAATACGCATAGAATACAATCATCATAATCAAATCAAAAAATAGCCTTTTTATTGGAATTAATATATACATTTTTAAAACGATAAAATATTATGCCTTATTTTCATCTACTTTGGTAACAAGGTTTTGTACTTATTAAAAAAATACATTAATCATTAACAATAACATATCATATTAAGGACCGTATTAATAAATCCAACTCATATGCAGGGTCTATGCTAAGATCTTACTTAAGTCAACAGTCAATAGTAAAAAGAATTCACTAGAGTTAAATTACGACTACTCATTAATTACGCATAATTTGAGATGTCAAAATATTTCCGCTTATTAATAAACGTCAGAGCAGTTACACACGGCGATTGCATTGCTACACTTGTGATTTATAAGCGCAATGTCGCGTTTGTATCGATGCAGTAGCGCGATTGCATCGATGCAATCGCCTAAGTGTAGCGATGCAATCGTGCGTTTCACGAACGCACGTTTGCATCGCTGCTAAATGTCGCCATGTCTAACCATTCTTACTTAGCACTTAAATTACGACTCGAGATCGTTAATAAATCCTAAGTATATTGGCACTTTGACTTCGGCTAAGCAAGAATCGCGACCTAAGCAAGATTTTCTTATTTATAAAACGATATTTACCTAAGTCAAAGCAAAAAATTACTATTATTAAGTAGTGAACTCAAAGTTTAATTTAATTCCTTGCTTAAACTTGGGCAAAGTTCGTATTGTAAATACGAAAACCTTGCTTAGCTCGCCATTTTTGCTTAGTTGAAACCAAAGTGCGTTTTATAAATCTCAGTATAAGGGCGCCTTCAAATTATAGGCTTGTAGAAGCGCTGCAGTGGCGCTTCTATGGCGCTGCAGCCGCGCCACCACTAATTTTCATACAATATTTAAAAGCGCAGCTGCAGCGCCACAGTCGCTCCACGCGCGCGCCACTTTTGCAGGCTAGATATTCTGCCGCAGCCATTAGTCAAAAACTCTTGTGGTAAACTTGTGACAAAAAGTCAAAACCAAAAATTCTTTTTGTTTAAAGCAATGAAATAAAAAAAAATATTTACTTTCTCTTACGATAACTTCATACCTCATCCACATATGATAAAATAAAAATAGTGACAGATCGGCCTTTTTTTTACTGATCACGGCAGTAAACATATAAATTTTCTTGAAAAAATGTCACAAACGCCCTTTCAACTAAATGCTATTAAAACTAAAACTAAATTTGTAGAAAATTACTAATTTTCACCGCTGCAGCGCTTCAACAAGCGTTTCATTAAACTCGCCATTAGTCACTGTAGATGGTACCTATCACCCAAATTGCCGATGATTATTACTTGATTAAATAACGAGAGCATGAAAGGTATCTCTAAATCCGAGAGACATCTTAGCCGATACGTATTTAAAATCTGATGAGAGCTATTTATTAAAACGGGCCTAAGGTGTTTTACAAATTACAAGACTAAATGTAGGATTAAATTATACTTACAATTAAAAATGTATACAATTGGAATGATTGCATAAAAATATACGTAAATAATGGTTTGCTACCTATAACCCTGTACAAAAAATATCTTTACATTTCATTCAAACAAAATATGGATAAACGAATTGCTGTGTGAAAATATTCAATTAATTTCAGATTACACTAAATTGTTTTACACCTTGTAGTCTTAGCGGTAAGGGCGTGGCAATATCATTACAGGATTTAAAAAAATTAACTTTCTGGAGATCAATTTACCACTCGTTTAACACCAATTTAACGGATAAGAGTGTCATAAAATGTTCTAATAATACTAATATTTGCAAGAGAGTCCATTACACTGAACAACTATAGCGAGGTTTGTAATTAATATTTTTTATTTTATGCAAAACTTTGTCATCGCTGCGATGCAAAATATATGGAAAGTCGGTTCGGAAAATAATACAATATTGCAACATCACCAATCAAAACGACTAACCAACGTTTTATTAAAACAATTATTTTACTGTACAATGCATGGTAATGCCACGGCCTGACCACAAATATAGCGATATCCAGTTATTCCTAAATCACACTACACCATCATCAATCAGCAAAGTAAACTTATCGTGCCATTATCGCTGCCCAACAACAAGAGCCTATTCAAAGGCAATACAGCCATACATGTTAGAACACCTTTGAAGGTATCTGACCGTAGCTTAGTGCTGGAGAACGAAGCTTCTTGATCGAGAGCGGTGTGGACCCCGATGCGGTTGTTCGTCGTACCCGATATGAGCTCATTGTAGTAGACGGAAAGACAGTGCACGGGCTCAGTGCTACCCCTGTACGTAAATAAAAAATAAATAATAAGTTCAGGGGCAATACCAATGGAAAATACGGAAATATTACGCAATTTCGTTCAACACCAGAAAAAAATGAACAATTTTACGCCCTGGTATGAAGCTGGCAATATTATGTTACAAGTATCATGTGCGAGGACCTCGATTCAGAATTCTTTGATATCTTAACCGAATCGTTCGATTGGATATCGTTCTCGAATCGAAGGGCGCTTTCCAAGCTATTCAGAACATTCGAGTTACAACGTTCGATTCAGATTCGGATACGATATCGTTATCCAACAACGTTTATGGAATTAGTCGGCGAATACAGATTATAAGAAAAATGAAAATCCTTTTGCACATGTTTAAGACTTTAAATATACTAATTTTAAATATACTAATTATTAATTTTATATGCTAAATTTAAATATACTAATTAATTTTATATGTACAATCTTGCATTAAAATTAATAAAATTGAACAAAATCCAGACTTTATTTAAAATAATAAGAGATTTCTATATTACATTCTTGCTTTGTAAACAATAGGAAGTTAGGTAACTTTCATTCGATAACTGTGTTCTGAATAACGTTTGTAGCCTTTGCCGGTCGAAAAACTGAGTAATCGTACGATTATTAGTATATTATACGGTTTAGAATACGACAATTCCGAAGTTCGATTCGGTTATTGTGAATAAAAATGAAACGAAATCGTATAATATCTAATCGAATCGTTCGACAACAGAGTTATCGTAAGGTTCTGAATCGACCTGCAGTTCCGAATCCAAGAAATGACGGTCCGAAATGCACAGGAATCATTTTATCTCTAGATGTACAAGGGATGTTCGTATTTCTCGTATTCGAATGGGACTCAGTGCACAAGCGATATCCGAAGTGGGTCCGAGTTTTCTAGATTTGCATAATTTCGGATTCGAAATGAAAAGGAATCAGATGCAGGGCACAAGCGCGCTTACCCTTCAAAACCGGAACGCAGTAATGCTCATATTATTACTTGGCGGCATGAACAGGTAAGGTGGCAGTAATTCCCTGAACAAAGTCTTTAACAAGGAGCTCTACTGCTACTAAATTATATATCTACTTGCTACTAATACTTTGGAAATTACCATCAAATAGTAGGAAGCAATACAGATTGTAAGTATCGTCCAATTCAAATTGTTTTAGAGTCATAGTGATTAGACCGTGCCACTTCGACAGACGATTGTTTGTTACTTAACCATGTCGAATAGGCTGGACGTGTTACGTGAATTTTGGTAAATTTAGTTTTACTCCCAGAAAGGACACTTTTTAGCCCCGAACGAAATTGCGAAGAGCAGTTAATACATTTTAAAATTAAATTTTGATTGAATTGATATTAAATTTTTTTTTACGTGAAATTACTCCACTAGTTAGTTATAATTATTAATACAAAGATCGAACACTCAGAAAAAATCCTTCCATCCGGCCGGATTCGAACCGACGTCTTCTAGCATACCGTGACCGTGAAATACTTTCATAGATTTCTCATAGATGGCCATACAATTAAAAATCGTTGAAAAACCAAATACAGAGATACGACAATAAGCACATAGAAAAATTCGTGAGGTCGGCTGGTTCGTTCCGTGGCGTAGTTGATATAGCATCTGCCACGGTATGCCAGAAGACATCGGTTCGTATCCGGCCGGATCAAAGGATTTTTTTCTAAGTGTTCGATCCTTGTTTTAATAATTATATTTTAAATTATTTGCACAAATACGTACTTGAGGTGCGCAATGAGTTCGCCGTCATCTGGTCGCCACAGCGCTGTTACTTGATCTAAACCTGAACTAAGTAGCCGATGGTCGTCCACTGCGGCCAATCTGAGTACCTGAGAAAAATTCTCTATTACTGATCTCTTATTATTATTATTTTTTACTCTTTATTTATTTAGAGACTTTGATCGTTACTGAACATGTCAGCCCCATTAGAAAAACAACACCTCAAAAAAACACTTAATAAAAAATCCAGACAAATAAATCAAAATACTACCTAACCAAACATGTATACAAAATCTCCGCGGCGCTAGATGCTATAATATGATAAAACGCTGTATTTTTACTTGTCACGTAACTTTCGTGTTTTTTTAGCTACATTGGTCACATGGCCTTACCTCTCCGTCGTGCGCGCGCCAGCAGGCGAGCGGCAGCGTGGTCCTCGCGTCGAGCACGCACACGTGCCCGCTGGCCAGCCCGCACGCCACCCACGCGCCACTCGCGCACACGCACATGCAACGCACGAACGTCGTCGCGCTCATCGGCAACTACGAAACATTTTTTTTATAATATCAAGTGACGGGACGAACAAGTCGTGCAGTTGCAGTGTCACTCAGAGCTTTAAGTCGCAATACTGCGCCCGTCACCCAGAGACATCAGTTGACAAGTCCAATGAGCCTGTAATTTCACCAGCACCCTTACCCTTCAAAACCGGAACACAGTAATGCTGACACTGCTGTTTGGTGGCAGAAATAGGTAAGGTGGCAGTACTTCCCTGGACGAACTCTGTCACAAGGAGCTCTACTGCTACTAAAAGTACTACATGCAAACATGGTAGTAGTTGTTATTATTATTGATACAAAGACCGAACAGCCTCATATCTTTCAACATAAGTTTTGTTTACAGTGCCCCTCCCTATCAACCCCTCCCTATCAACCTTTTGGTTGTGCGGGAAGGGCGCTATGAGCCCGCACAGGGACCATCCAAGTCAGGTCCTAATCTCATTTCAGCCAGTTACAAAAGCCGAAAAAAGCAGTAGCAGCTGAGCATTAGTAGCAATAGAGTTCGTCCAGTGAAGTACTGCCATGTTCCTGTTTCTGCCGCCAGACAGTAATGTTAGCATTACTGTGTTCCGGTTTTGAAAGGTAAGGATGTTGGTGAAATTACTGGCACATGGGACTTGTCAACTTGTGTCAACGGGCGCAGTGGCAGTGCCCCACAGATCTTTGCGATTAAAAGCTCTGAGTGGCATTGCAACTGCTATGGATAAGCGAGTCGCTTATAGCCAGGCGCACGACTTGTTCGCCATCGACGGCACGAATTGGTATCATGAGAACAAAAAAACAAACAAACAACTATTGCAATATCTAATCAGAGTAAAGGACTTGTTCTTTGTGTTTGGTCGATATTTGTATCAATAATATAGTTAGTAGTACTTGTTTTCCTCCAGTGCCGACTGTAAACAGTGGATGAAAATTCAAATAACTTTCATTTTTGACGTTTCTGCACGAAAAAGCCCTCGACGTCTCTTGTAGTGTCATTGGTTTTGTTCATAGATATAGGAAGTTTCGTTCAGCCATAATCCTTCTACCCCGGGCCTATCGAAGTGTGAACAGACAAAGCCTGTGCATTTTCTAAACCCATTCTCTAAGGTGTAAATTAAACCGTAATTTATCAGGCCTCCTTCTACTTTGGATTTCATCTTATCTGATTTAATAGAACTCTTGCGGAGCACTCGCACTTCTATAGGTTTTAAGTTCCACAGTATTAATTGAGTAGTCCACTAGCAAACTCCGTTATGTGTGTGAATAAAAAAAAGATGTAAACTAAAAAAACCAATTATTGTTCCGAAAACGGTTTTTTTGAATGGTACTTTCTTAATTATCTGAAAATTGTGATAAAAAAGAGATAAACAATATGAAGAAACAAAATCACAGTATTACACTTTTTACTTCATTTCCATTTAAAAATTGAACATACGAGAGTTTGGCAACAGTAATCTTAAAATATCTAGTTTTGTAATTGTTCAGAATTAACGTAGCTAGTTTTGTAACAACACTATGATAACATGGTTAGTTTAACAGTAAAAAATACAACTTCAAACTAATTTTAATTTTCCATCCACATCGTCAACCATCAATGTATCTTCACTATCTGTCATTTCTTCTTCGGTCACATTTGATTTGGTTGACATTTGATTTGATTTGTACTTGTCCGATAATAGGAGTACAAAATTCAAGAATTTTGTATGTAAACCAATCTTCTCCGAAATGTTTGACGGGCAAGATTTTAATAAATTAACGCGAACGACCTCTCGGATGACAAAATATAAATACCAAACAAAATAACGGATTTTGCACGAGTTTATGCTATATGAGTAGCGTTTGCAGGTTGACGACAAAATGGAAACTTTTGAAAGTGTAAAACTAAGAACAATAGCGACTTTTGCATGAGTAGTCAAGTTTTTTCACACACACATTTGTGCAGAATATACCAGTTTTGGCGCCGTTTTGTTGAAATATTTGAAATTATTCAAAATACTGATCCATTTCACGCCATTATCTAAAAATCATTAAAAATGTCACATAGCGCTGTTTGCAAGTTGACTACTCAATTGGCGAAATTCAAATTTATTACAAATTCAATAATAAACTGAGTAATATTAGTGAAATGAAAATCTCTTAAATATGTGTTATACCTTAAGCTCGTGAGTGTAATTGCAAGCGCGTGCGTCGATAATTTTGAGCGTGGCGTCCGTGGTGGCTGCGATTACGGAAGCCGACGGCCCAGGCAGCGTGCGCACTATGCTCACGGGCGATTTTATGTTGTCCATCTGTCGAATAAGATTAAGAATTTATAAGTTTCTCAAAGGTGGCGTTACGGCAAAGCAAGCCGTAGTTTGCTAAAATAATTTTAGTAGCAGTCTCTTTAGAAGTCCAGGGAACTACTGCCAACATACCTATTTCTGCTGCCATACAGTAATGTGAGCATTACTGCGTCCCGGTTTTGAAGGATAAAGGTGCTGGCCAAATTACAGGCACAACTTATATCCCACGGGAGACGGGCGCAGTGGCAGTGCAACTGCTATGACAGGCGTGTCGCTCACCGCCAGGCGCACGACTGATTCGTCCCGTCACTTATCATGAACAAAGACGTCTAAATCCAACACAAAGATATGCAACGGGTCTGTGGAGAAATTTGTAAAGCCTGCTGACTCCACCTGTAGGTCGGAAGGCGCAGGTTCGTGTTCAGTCTGATCGATGAATTTTTCTTTGTATTTGTTCGATCTTTGCATCAATAATCACATTAAGATTATTGAAAGTTGGGTTAAGCCAATGTTGTATTCGCCAATATTTACAGTGCACTTACACTTGAAAACGTCGCTTTTAAGCTACTGCTCATTCACTACGCTGACTTCCCTGAGAAGAACAAGCAAGAAACTCCAGGGGTTGCTCTTTTCAAATAAACTTAAATACACTTTGAATCAAATTTGTGTGGAATCTAGAGCCATATCGTGTTTTCATACATCTTTATCTAACACGTTGTCTTCAATTTTGTAACATGACTTTTCAATTAAAATATTTTTAATGTAGTTTTTAAACTTAGGAAATGATCACGTTAATATATGCTCCGGAATCATATTGTAACAATGTATACAATTGCCCATAAAAGAGTCGTTTACCTTGATAAACGAAATCGTTGTATCATGAGTTTGGACTTAGCTCTAAGGTTAATATTATGGATATGTTCTTTCTTATTGAAATTATGTATATTTTTACGGGCATATAAAATATTTGAGTAAATGTACTGTGATGCCACAGTCATGATACCAGTCTCCTTAAACTTTTTTCTGAGGGAAACCCGAGAACCTAAACGGTACACAGAACGAATCACTCGTTTTTGCAATACAAATATGATTTGATTGTCTGCCAAGATGCTCTACCTCATAAAATTGAAATTGGTAAATCATTGGTAAATCAATTGACGTTACTCCATAGTAACGTTAATTGGCGACCATAAACCTTGCGACACAACCAACCGAACACGCAATTTGCCGATAAGAGGATCATCAGCGCAGAACTTATTTACTTATAGATGACGTTGTAAAATAGCAAACGTGGGTAGTAACTTAGTTACCCTTTTAAAATTTCAGTGAAAAAATAAAAATTAATTTTCACACAGCAATAACGAATCTTATTTACTATACCTATTGGATAACTGACCTGAGAAACTACGCTTTCCATAAAGGGGTCCCAGATGTGAACGACAGAATCCGTGGAGACAGCAAGCCGTTGTGATTCTAAGAAGGCGAGAGACAGCACGCCTTTTTTATGACCAGTGTACGTCCAGTTGCACTGAGTTGTCGCGTTACCATCGCCCTGATATAAAAATATTATTATAAAGGTGCGTACAGATCTGGCGAATGCGCCTGTTTGGAAAAGGCTCGCGTGCTCCGATCGCAGCGACGTTGTGACCTGTTTGCGTGACGCCCACGCGCGTCATCTATGCTTTCTTGCCCACATAGGCGCTTATAACCGTACATACAATGCATTCGCCACATTTTTACGCACCCTTACGTTGAAATTACACAGTCTGAATATGTGTTTCCATGCTGCCAAGTATAAAAAGACCAGAAAATTATGTAGAAAGATTAACAAAACTTTAAAAACATTTTTGATAACATAATATTAGAAAAACTAAAACGCATTAACCATTACAAAGCGTGTGATAAACAAAGAAATCTTGACTAACCTGATTCCTCAGCGACCACAGCCTTACAGTTTTATCTTTGGAACCACTCATGAAACTGTTCTCATTGTCTAGACAATGTATGGACTTGACAGAGTGCGTGTGACCGGTAAACGTCTGCAGTTTGATTTGCTTGAGGTTGAACCGAGCGTCTTTATCGGGACGTCCGATTTCGTGCTCCCAGTAGATGAGCCAGTCACCTCGAAGATGTCTAAAAGAATAACAATTACATAGACTGATTTCAGAGATACGTGTTCTTAATTGAAAATCTGCACTTTGGAAGATGGTCACAGAAAAACGTAAAGCACCATCGACGAGAGAAGGAGATAGAGATAACCAGAGACAGACAGACGGACAGACTGATGGACTGACGGACAGACAGATAGAGGAAGTAAAGTATTAAAATTCAAATTACCTGTTGCTCTTACACCCATTATCCATTTTATATGCAACTACGTCAAATCCGGTACCTTGGCCGCTACAGATTTCACTCGGTTCGCTAACAACATCAATCCTGTTGCCTACCAAAGTTACATTGGAGCCAAAACTATTGGAGCTCGATATATGATCCATAACAACTTCGGATTTAGATGGTGTTATGTCTATATTCCTTTTGTTACGCGGCTCATCATTTAAGGACAATTGGAAGCGCTTGTCTTGGCGGTTGAATGTGGAACTGAAAATAAACAAAAGGAATTAAGAAACATTTCACGCCCTAATCCACTACATTTTATCGTTCGTCTGGCCCTCCTCGTCATTACTAACGTAATCCACATTTTTAGCATTAACATAACAGCGAAAGGAGATCTACAACCCCCTACTAGCGGTTTTTTTAAATATCTTATTTAGTTTCAGTAAGTATTGTTAAGCAAAACAGCGTAATTTTCACTTTTACTACCAAAAAAATTGTAGGTGTCAATATCTCGAAATATGTATTCTAAATTTACCAAAATTCAAATGCGTTAGTTACGACAAGGCGGGCGGAATAGTGTCCCACATTAGTGGGCCTCTCCCTTGGACTTCTAACACTCTATCGGCGGCATTCAAGAACGCATCTAAGTCGTCCCGCCATAGGCATTGACGCCATCTTGTAGCACATCTCTGTGGCAAAACATGCCAAGCTTTTTTAAAATTTTAATAGACAAACCCCCAGAAACATCAAATGATATTGCCAACGTGCAAAAAATCACGTAATTAAACTCTACTATGTTATCAAGAAAAACTAAACTCTTTTTAAATCAGACGAGAAGACTTTGTTGTATAGGATAAATTATATATGTCGGAATCAGTTACCACCTCAAACGTAATGTAACAAAATTCGGTGTATTGTTGACGTAATGTGCATTACGTGAGGTTAAATCTTAGCCAATATTATAGCGTGTTGTTGTCTAATTATTAGACAAACGATGTACTAGGCTGCTTACGCATCATATAATAATAATAATAATAATAATAATAATACTTTATTTCGGACAGTTATCCATAGTTTGTTAGTAAAGAACTTAGGAATAACGTTAGTTTATGCTATTCAAATGCTAAAATTACAATAAAATAAGACAATGTGAAACAAATAAAAAATGAAAAACAAAATAATTATACAATTCAAATCCAAAAAATAAACCACGAATACAACATTAAATATAAAATTATAAAATTGAAAATTACAAAATTGAAAATTAAAAAAAAATTGAAAATTATAAAATTGAAACTTACAAAATTGAAAATTACAAAATTGAAAATTATAAAATTGAAATTAATTTAACATACTCATGTAGACTTAAAGTAAACCGCCACATGAAGTTTCATCCAGTGGACCTGGATGGGGCAATCAATTTTATTAACCACAGTTTTTAGAATGCTGTTGGGGCACCCGCGCACACGTCGCCAAAGCGAGGCGACCCGCTTCCTCATAATGGCATGAAAGCCATCTGTGCGTGACTCAGCGCACATGTCTGAAGCGCTACAGTGTCGCGGTAACCCCAACAACATCCTAAACGCGTTGTTATATTGTACCCTCAGCGTATTTAGGGTCACCTTATTATACTTCACCCACAGGCTACACGTGTAGAAGGTTTGACAGTATGCTTTAAAAAGCGTTAATTTTACCTCCCCACTACAACATGCAAACTGCAAGCGCTCTCCGTTCTCTCTCAATATCCACCAGATCGGACTGATCATCTGTCACCCAGTGACCCAGGTATTTAAATTTAAAAACTCTAGTAAGCTCACTGCCACAAAGGGAGACCGACGGTACAACGCCCACTTCTCCACCTCGCGGCTTAAACACCAGGAGCTCATTTTTCTTTGTATTATACCTGAGTCCTTGGGCAACAGCATAATTCTCACAAATCTTAAGTAGCTCGCGGAGGGCACATATTGATGGGCTCAGCAGCACCATGTCATCTGCATAGCTGATATTGTTAACTATAACGCCATCCAATGAGCAGCCTACATTAGTACTGCTGAGCTCACCAATCAATGCATTTACATACAGGTTGAAGAGCTTAGGTGACGTTAAACCCCCCTGCCTAACCCCGCATCCCAACATGTATGGTTCCGACAGCGACCCAGCCCACTTAACATTGTTGATCTGGTTTCGATACCAGAACTCGAACAACCCAACAATCTCAAACGGAAGATTTGTCTCACATCTCAGCTTATGCCACAACACGTCATACGAGACCATATCGAAGGCCTTAGACAAATCAAGGAAGCACGCATACACAGGCGTACTTCTGTCCGTGTAATACCGAACAGTATGCTTGAGTCAAAACACAGCGGACTCTGTAGAAAGTCCAGGCCTGAACCCAAACTGCGCATCATGAATTTTTAGGTGTTTAGTTAAAATGCGATCAAGCAAACCGTCCAGTACCTTTGCCATGATAGTGGTCAACGATATAGGTCTGTAATTGTTTTTGTCAGACACATCCCCCGTTTTGTTCTTAACAAGAGGTACCACCATCGTCTGCATCAAACCGGCAGGTAGGTACGAGTGCCTCAAACAAAGATTAAATAATTGAGACAAAACCCCCGGTAATCGCTCACCCGCATGTTTTAAATGCGCTACGCTCAAGCCATCATGTCCAGGTGACTTCCCCTTTGACATTCCCTTAATGATAGATGCCACATCATCAGCAGTGAATTGAGAGATAGATGGGGCACCATAAAAGGAAGTTTCTCGCACCCACCCGCGGTCCGGCAGCTCACGTGGCACGACTTTGAAATGCTCCATGAAAAGGTTTGCGATATCCTTACAGTCTACTACGCCATCAACACTCACCGGACGACCTGTCTTCGGATTCATTTTGCCCGATTCCTTCAAAAATTTATGAAAGTTCCTCGACTCATGATGTAATGCCATTATATCAAATTTAATTTGTTCCTGGTTCCTTTGGCACCACTTTAATTTAAATTAAATATTAACTATAATCCATTTATTTAGGTACAGGGTCAAGAGCACGTTAAGCTTGATACTTAAGACTTAAATCCAACTCTATGCCGCTTACGATAAGAACAGTCCAAAGCACAGTGTCAAGATTGATGTGTTCTTGACTGTATTTAACTAAATGTAAATAATCTTGAGATGTCTATTTAATTAAATATACATTTATAAAATGATTTTTACTTACCTTCAAATACAAAATACAAATACTTAGCTTCACATGAAATTGTATGCCTATTTTTATACCTATTGATTTGTAAAGTACATGTTTCAATAAAAAGATGTATCAAGATTGTTTACATTTAACTAAATGTCCATTTTTTTAACTTTTAACTATAGTCCATTTGTTTAGGTACTTAACTAAGTACCTAAACAAATGGACTATAGTCTCGATCATGGTTTCTTTGTTTACAAATGTTACGTCATTTTGACAGCTCAACCTGCGTAAGGTCACAGAGAGGGGGCGCTGGTGTAGTTTGAATTTGTTCAATTAAATCAGTCATCTGACGTGTCCTATGACATGATGGTCATTGGCAGGGTTGCCATATGAAAATAAGAATTGTAGTTGAGGGTCAATGCTAATAAACGAGCGCGCATTGACAAGATGGGATTTTGGTGTAAGTTGCTTGGAAAGTGAAGACATAAGCGCGGCCCCGCTCTCTGTAAACTTGCCGCGTGATATTTTGAATTCGTTTAACCTGATCCATCTTTTGTACTTTCGAACTAATTACTGTTGATAATAATATAGTCGATAAAACAATTAATTGAAATCAGTTGACGTTATTATTTCACCACCGGCTGAACGAATTGATAACGAAGAATGAATATGCCAATTATCAAATAATTCCTGACTAGGGCAACACCCTGAACGTCTCTCGTTCAGACGGAGATTAAGAGAGAGATAGCAATACGTTCTCGATTCCTCCAGATGCGATATATATTTTGGTAGCACGGTATCGGTATTTGGAGCAAGTAGGATCACGTGATTGCGAATCGATGTTTCCCGCAATTAAATATAAAATAAGAATTTAGGAAATGTTTTTTTCGATTAATTTTTTTAGTGATTTGGTTTCAGTTTCGGATGTAGAATGACCTCTGTAAATATGGTCAGAATGCAAATTAACACATTGTATAGTTTATACCTGATATAATGGTTCTGCTTATAGCTTTGGCACAGCGCTCGCAAAGTGTCGTTGTTTTTAAGGCAACGCTCGATATAGTCTGCGCCTATGAACTTCTCGAACGCCGTGTATGAGTGGTATGCTAGCGCCTCGTCGAACGCCATGAGTAGCTCTTCTTGTGCCTGTTTTCACATTTGTAAAAATGTTACTATCGTGTTAATTAAAAAAATCTTTACTATTTACTGTCATACATTTATATTTAGAACTAAAGTGAGGAATAAATCGAGATAATCGAATTTTACAATGACACCATTTTAGAGAGGCCTGTGATGGGCAGCCAGTAATAAAAAAATACGAGTTCTAACACCACCCTGCTGAACTCAGCAGGGTGGTGTTACGACGGTGATCGATCACATCTATTTAATAAAGTTGGTCTATCATAATTGATTGTTCTAGTGGATACTCACAGTGAGCCTGACGGCGTCGGGCGGTTGGTCTGACACGTCAGGTGGAGTGCATGCCATGTCGGGCAAGTCAGCCCGAACAACGCGCCCGTCTTTCACTGTCCACTCCGCCGTCGTACCGTCGCGGCAAATTTCCAAAAACCCTTCCATTTTAGAATCCGCTGCGTCTTGTTCTGATGACTATATAACAAAGATAATTCATATTAAATGAATCTCACACATCGCTGTGTGAAATACCATAACAGTTTGTAATTTGTGTTCACGATTTTTTGTTTCTCTTCTTTAGTGGCCTATAACAAAAAATTTTGTATGCTGTATAGCCATTTTTTAACAATCGTACCTTGTCGCCATTTGAATCGTCCTTTGGCCAGTTATCTGTTTTACCAGTAGCTTTGTCAAACGCTAAGAAGAATCTGAAATAAAACATACATTTTATGAACAGAATGTATTCATTCTTATATCATGTAGTTGTAACTTTTAAGCTTAATATAGCCACTTTTTTATCGGCATCATAAAGCGATTTTCACATCGCGTGCAAAAAAGTGTTTGTAGACAGTCAGACAGTTTTATCGTCATGTGTCATAATATAAACATTTGTTATTAAGAAATAGCTTAAAAAGCTGTCGGAATTGCTAACCTCTGCAGTGCAGGCACAGCTAAATGCCTTCGAGTCATCTCTGGACCTATCCTTAAAGCGAGCGCATATAGCGCGCCCACCAACTTTCGCGCGACGCAAACGCGCGCGCGACCGCCGCTCGGGTAGGAACAACGCGTCGTTGATGCTAGCCGAAGCGCCGGCTGTAGGATGGACTTTAGAAATGTATCCTGTGGAATAAAACATGACGTTTACAGACCTACGAGCTAATGAACAACTTTTGTTCCAAGTCTTGAAAAATCGTAAAACACAGGAGGTAAATAACAGTAAATAATCGACAGTTTGTAATAATCACCTGCAGTTGCTCCATAACTTTGACATCGGACAAATAAGGCAGCAAATATTTAACGAGCTGCAGGCAAGCTACCACGCCGCCCTCTAGTGGCGCCGACAACCGCTTTCGACACGATGCAATCAACTCGCCCATGTGTGGTAGGTACTGGAAGATTATAAGCTGCTCGCCGTACATTGCTGCACGAGACACAATCATTCATTAGAGCAGTCAGTCTGATTTTAGCTATTCGAAAATGTAAAAGTGTCAGATAATATTGTCTTTTTAAAGGTAAAACCACATAAGTGACGTTTTCCACAATAAGTTTTTAATTTATATAGCTATGGCAAGAAAATCACTATCATTCTACTGAAACTCAATAACAAAAAAACTATAAACTCAATAAGAGTTTTCTCTGCAGAAAGATGGTGATTTTCTTACAAGAGGTACATAATTTGGAGGTTTTTTATGGAAAATGTCACTTGTGATTTTACTTTTAAACAGACGATATGTATAACCTCTGATCTCACGAACTGGTATGAGACTACGAAAGGAAATAAGACTATTTTAAGTGATCTCATACAAAATTTAAATATATCAAATTTACCGCGTAAATAAAGGTCTAAGAAAATATGCTTACCGACAATAGAAACAAGGCACTTTATAACCTTCGACGCGTTCCTGTCACCAACCACACGACTATTCACAATCGCTATCTCATCAAATTCGTCCCTCTCATCCCCTTCGTAAGCTGCCAGATTATCTTTTCCGATATAACAAAGCGTCAACATTTTAAGCAAATTCCTTGTAATATGTCTACAGGTAAGCACTGGACCAAGTCTGTGCGCCAACCAAATAAGACTTTCTGAACTCATATCTGAGATCTTACATGGACTCAATTCTTTGCTAGACAATTCCCCTTCGTGCAGACTTTTGGATGACGTTGGATCAGCATTTTCAAAGTTCCTACTGAGTTCCGTAAAGCTTTTTATTTGCCGCGAGTGTGATTCTTTCCGCACCTCAACATCTTCAAATTTCACATCATCATCGGCAAAGTGCAGGTAACTTGTAAACATAGGTCTTGCTGGTGACGTAGGTCTTTTAGGTGTCTCTATAGATTCTTCATTAGTTACGAAAACACTGAGATCATTTGTTTTCATACTGATTGGCGTAAAATACTTCGCACTTGATGGAGAAACAAATTCTGAAGATGGCGTAGGACTCACTATGTCTTGTTGGGGGTTAGAAGCATATGAATCTATAGACTCCGCTGGCGATTTACTTCTACTACTTCTACTCGGCAATCTTTCCTTTTCAGTTTCAAAATGGAAGAGCTCATTCTCGCTCTTATTGTCAGAGTCTTTCTCTTTCGAACTTTCGTGGACTTCTACAACCGTTTTCTCAACATTAGGCGTGGCCACGTGCTCTGAACCGTACGATGTGTCCGGAGAAAATATATCAGAAGTAGTTGACAAAGCATTCTTGACGGTGTCGTCAGAATATCGAGGCTTTTTGTTTGCCATTGCTCTGTGGTGGCATGAATGCCCGGGAGAACCAACTTCCACGGTTACATCTTTGTATCCTCCGACAGCCTCAACAAGGTGCTGAGTGAAGGTTTCCAAAAAGCATTGAAGGCCAAGTCTTACCATCAATTGAAGTAAGAATATATTGTGGTATAGTTTCACGAATTTTTGTTTACCTGCGACTCCCGAACAAGTGACTGAATCCACCTCTGTTAATTTGTGCTGTTCAGGCTTATCAATGACGTAGTCATCATCCTCATAGAGATTTAGAATATGCTTCAATAGTTTACTTTTAGTCTCCGCAGGCCCTAATGCTTTGCTTACTGTATCAAATAAGTACCAAGCTGCCAACACTGAAGTGTCTTTATTGGTTAACAATTCAATGTAATGTGCGAGAAAAATATCAAGGACATCAAATTGTCCACTCAATTGATTGAGGAGAACTTCCAAATGAGTAGCACAGGCTTGGATTTTACCTTCCGCGATCCGCTGTGTGAAATACAATTTTGTTTTATCTATGTTCTGATATTTCTCACATTGAACTCCATCGCACTCATACATGTACAGAATATTCAATTCATTACTGGTTAATTCATATTCATGTAAAGTACTTAAGAGCTTATATAAAATGTTGAAGGTCTGTGGAAATGGTATGAGATGTTGCATCAATAAAGGTTGCAATAGCTGCGACGGTGTAGGCGGCGGTAAACCTTTGTCTGTTACGATAATTTTCTTCAACGGGTCCTCCTTCGATTTAATGGCCAATTCGTTCCGGAAACTTAGACTCGGAGGCTGCACATTGAGCAGCTGAGACGCTAAATAACTGACGCATTTAGGCACCGAGTGGAAATTATACTTAAGAACAGTTCGACAATTAGTATATCGCTCTAGAAAGTCACTGTGGGTCCTCAATGGGCGCATGTAACTATGCAGGAAAAGTTCAACAATGAGACAACCAATCACTAACATGTCTCGTCTCCGACTTTCCGTAACGAACTGTTTGTACACTGTAGCGTCTGTGGTATACCTCGTGTTAAATGTCCTATTCTTTCTTTCTTTTAGAACATTTTCTAGATGAGCATCCTGACTAAACTTCTTCAAATAATTTTGATCGTAAGATGCCAAGAACATGTGATTCGTAAACGCCGTGTCGTCGGAATCTTTTGTCGCTGTGCTACTTTCTTTTTTTATATCCTGTTGTACTGGAAACAGATTCAAAGTAGTTAGGTTGTCCTTGTGTTTCGCTTTGTCATCGGCTTTAGTGAAAAAACATTTTGTTCGGAAATTGTCCAAAGCTTCCAGAGCTTGTATGGACGCGACTGGGTTGAACTCTTTTGGGAGATAAATGATTCCTTTTCCAAGTTCGGAACGTTGGACTCTGTAATGTCTTGAATGTGAGGAGGCCCTGGTTTCCGTAGCTTGCGTTTCATCAAGGCCCTGACTATTGCTTTTAGTCAAAGATCTCGCGCGGCTGCTGCTTTTGTGTCGCGAGGAACGCCTTCGATGCGTTGGGACGTTCAGACGCGAGACATGTTGAGGTAAGCTGCTTGATTCTTCTTCCTCTTCTGTGAACTCATCAGAACTATCCTGTTTGATAGATTTTTCTGGAACAGAAAAAAATTTCAAATGGCAACACACACCCAAATTTTATCTGCAACTTGTTTATAGTAATTTATGTATTTGCTGTCATATGTATTACTCGCATCTTAAACGCTGTTGTTAAATATTCTAAAATCTACGCGAGGAAGGGCACATTAAGGGTTGAACCGTATTATATATATAAAGTATAAAGCAGACTGACCATAACCCAATCAAAACACATATTTAGTATAGTCGCTGCGTTGGTGCGTGCTGACTAAGCTAGTTTCACCATTACTAATAACAAAGAGAAGATCTTACTAGCATCTCTAGGAGTAGTCCAATGCAACCTGGGCGGTGCAGGTGGCAGTGCCCGGGGCTGGCGTGGCGGATGTGGAGCCACGAACAGCTGCACAGTTGCGCCACGTCGCATCTTTGTGTGACCATCTACTAGAGACAGGCAGACGTTTTTGGCCTTAACTGACGCGGTACCTGAAAGCCTAAGAAATACAAAGAAGGCAAAAATTAACAACACATTACAACTAGATTCTAACAGATTTCAGTCTAAGCAAATCGGGAAAGATCAATCATGTGTTGTCTGGCCAGCAGTTTTTGTTTCCACACTGATAACATAACAAGTGCTACTGTTTCTATGGATGTTTGTTACTTAATAACATCATGCTGGAAAAATTGATTGGGAGAAAAATTTACCAATTCATTCTATTTCGTAATATGACGAAGATGATTATGTTGAAATATTTACTTATATCCGAATGTGATGTCAATCCAGTGATGCAGATTTTCAGACACATGTGCACTCTCCAACGCTTCCCTATGTTTAGTTATGAAGTCCTCTACGCAAGTCGCCCACGACGGTATTCCTAGATCCTGCAAATAAAGCAGAGAGATAAAATACTACCGTTCATAACTAGCTCTAATGCCTATTCAAATGGGCCATAAGTAAACGAAGTCAAAATTTTTAACTGCATACTTACGGGCAGATCTTCATGTATGCTCTTGAAGACAGTGGGATCAGTGTAGAACTCTGGAATACACTCATCTGGCGTCCATTCTTGCATACGTTGGATTGACACTGGGTACTCTGCTGGCACCCAGTTGTTACGAACGTGTTTGCAGAGCACTTCTTTTGGAGTTCTTTAAACAAAAAATGTATTTTCAATGTAATGGATGTCAAAAAAAAGTTTAAAAGTTTTTGAAAAAGTAGTTCTGGTTATTTTATCATTGATATCATCATCATCATCCCATTTATATGGCTCGCTACTGAGCACGGGTCTCCTCTCAGGCGAAGCTCTAGGCCTATAGACCTATTATGGTCCACCACGCTCGCCCAATACGGGTTGGCGACTTCACACCACCACCACCTTACCTATTTCTGCCGCCAAACACTAAAGTGAGCATTTCCGCGTTCCTGTTTTGAAGGGTAATTAATGGTGCTGTTGAAGTTACAAGCACTTGAGACTTGTCAACTTATGTTTCAGGATGACGGGCGCAGTGGCAGTGCCTCTCAGATCTTTGCGATTTAAAGCTCTGAGCGGCACTGCAACTGTTATGGGCAGGCATGTCGCTAACCACGAGATGCACGATTTGTTCGACTCGCCACTTGGTATTATAAAAAAACACGCTTTCCGAGGGTTGTGAACCATCTTCGACGTGCAGGTTTCCTAACGATGTGTTTCTTAACCAAAAAACACAAAAGTTAATTTTAAATTTAAAGAATTTTAAAGAAACACAGAGGGCGAGACTGGATATGAACCCAGGGTTTCTGCTTGAGAGGCGGTCAAACCATTAGGCTACCACGACGTATACATATAGATATCATATGTTTTTTACCTACTGACTTAGTACCAAATTAAAATTAGAGCAGGCATAATGTGTATTTAAAAGTACATGGTCTTTTCGATTTATTTAATACATATTAGTTTATGAAAGAACTCAATTACCTTCTCGCCAAATAGACATAACAAGTGATGTCAGACAGGGCATCGGAGACATGATGTGGGATTTGATCACTGCAATTCAAGACGTCGTACGTCATGTCGAGCTGTCGATCGCCCTTGGTCAAGCGGTACTTTGTCTTTGTCAGGTCGCGCCAATTGCGCCCTGCAAATAGGTCTTCTTTAGCATTAACAAAGTTTTAACCTAGTCTTAGTTAAATAAGAATGCAGAAGCTCTGTCCATATCATTTATTGTAAGAAATTTTAAAAGAGGAAAGGCTGTAACCAATAAAATGTTATAAAGAAAAGTTGCAATTATTGTAACACACTTCCTATAAAAGTAACTAACACAACACTCACCCCAATAGGGCCTATATAACAATATAGTTGTAATAGTAATTGACGTAAGTTTAACTAAACGAAGGTGATTTGTGATTTACGGGCACATCCTCTTGTTTCATGAATTTTGGTGGTAGTGGTGACAGATGTACTAAAATAAGAATAGTGAAGGAAAAGGAAACTCGAGAGCTATTTAAAATTTTAAAAATAAGTAGCTAGGTACCAGAAAAGCGTGTTTGATAATAATTGTAACTTTCTTAAAATAAAAGTTTTATTGACATTGGTTACTGGAAAGTGCACAATACCGAATTCGTCCCCCAGCTTGCCACCCTTAAAGGAAATAAAATTAGAAAAATAAAAAAAATATTCCATTTCTTAAATTTAAATGGGACATTACATTAATTGCATAACATACATACAAAAAAAATACTGTCGAATTGAGAACCTCCTCCTTTTTTTAAAGTCGGTTAAACAGGTGGGATAATGGTGGTCAGCATCGTCATAAACTCACATTACAAAAACTTAGCACACATATACATGTATGAGAGTGGTTCGATAAATGCTTGACTTAAGGTTAAATAAAAACTTTTTTCAGAATTTATTTTTATTTCTTAATTTAGAATTCCCTAATAAGCAAATGACGTTACTTTATAAAATTAGTTCGTAAATAAAAAAAAATAAAAATAAAAAAGTTAGGTGAAGTCGATGAATGTTTTGAAGATGGAGAATACAGAATTTTGAGTATTATGTTTCTGGTCTGCAATCAGGACATCAAAACTTGTCGAATTATGATACGAACTGTATTGCTACACTTCCGTACTCACCAAATTTGGCAACATATTTCAGTATTTTTATCTGATTTTGTACTGATTTTGAAACATGAGGCTTATATTTCAGTTTGACAAAAAATATGTTTTTGGTGGGTTGAAGAAGTTGAGATATCGCTTGTCAAGGTATACAGAGTTAAAAGGAGATTACTTATGAAAATAAAACATAATTTAAAAAAAAAAGTATCTTCTTCTCTAAGTCCTCGACTTATCAAACTGCCCTTGTATATAGTGTGTGAACCAAGCACAGCGCTAATGAAGTTTAAAGAGTTGCTTTGGGTACATATAATGAACTCTATAAAAATTTTATACATAAATGTAATCGGAATAGATCACAATAGTTACCACATCGTGAGGCAAAATCAGTGACCCAAGGCACCATAAAATGGGCTTGAGGATCATTAGCAGATCTTCCTGCAAGCATGTTCAGATGCAGCAGATAATCCAGATTTGATATCCTCCCTTTCACCCATAGCAAGCACAGTTTTTCCAATTGTGCAACGTCATTTCGCCAACACCACTCCTCTCCTCGCCTTCCTTGAGATCCTTGATTTGACACAGCAGGTGTACTCTGCTTACTTCTATTCAACTCATAAATTAAAGATGCATCTAATGTATGTATATTGTTTATTATAGAAGGTAATATTTGCAACCACAAATTCTCTGTCAAATAAATATCTTGAAGCTCAATCATACCCAAACTCAAGCCTCTATCGCTCATAGACTTTGCAACATTCAACAATTGGTATATTAAAAACATGCCTCTGGTATAATTCTTATCTACAAGAGCTGGACTGAAATTTAAGCAATCCAATAAATTATACTCATAGTGGCCTCTGTAGACTACAAAGTAGTTATTATCAGTCTCTAATGTGAACATAGCTGCTAACAAATTGACATGAGACTCATAAGATTTTGAAACATATTTATTGGGCACTATATCTTTATATTCTGTAGACTTTCCTGAGCTGTCATTCTTTATTCTAATTACATTACAGCCATACAATCTCAGCATCACTTCGGAAAGAAGCTGATCATGCTCCATAAGGTTGACAATAGTACTTTCTTTGGAGCTTTCTGTGTTTTGACAGTATTTCTTATAAGATTCCTTCCAAAGCGTTCTTTGATTGGTTTGTGAGACATATTGAAGGAGCTGTGCGAATGTTAAAGATGATTCCGAGTTACTTTCATTGAGTTTATATCGAGGCAAAGGTAAAACCTTGGAAACCTTTTTATGTAGTACCTAAGACAAAGACAGAGTCAATGTTTAAAAACAATGTAATAATTTAATATAAATACACTCAAGTATATACAGTGCATACATACTCTGATAAATACTTTTCGCCATGGATAAGAGACACTTTCACCAAGTTGTAGGGTGTAATCTACATTATTCACGCATGAATCGATTTCTGCGTTCTTTAGCCATTTTTTAAGCCAACTGCTGTGTACAACGACTGTAAATAGGTCAGACGTAGAAGTTGAAAACACATTTTTGTTGTTTATGTTTAGTTCTTTACTAATACAATCCATTTTACAATCATTTAAAAAGTCGTTGTTTTGGTTTCTCGTGACTGTGAAGCGAAACAGAAATGTTGACATTTCTTTGACAATTTATATTTTAATTTTTTTTTCTTCTTTCCATAAAGGAAAAGGCAAAAGTTTTACACCATACAGCCAAGTCTTGGTACATTATTCTTTTTTGGTACATGAAGTTGAATTATGTTTCTGTAAATATGGCCGCCACAAAGAGGATAGGCAATTTGAGGCAGCGTGCTTGGATTGACTCGGGATTCCTTAGAACGGGCCGATACGTGTATTTTTTAGTTCGAGATTCGTATAATTTCGCGTTTAAATCTTCGATTAAGGCACAATAGCACTATCCTATTCCTTATTAGGGCGTCTTGGGGGCTCCACCTACATCTTGGAGCCCAAGCTAACCTCACCTGCAAGTGGTGCGCCTGCTGATAGACGGACGAGGCTCTAGCGAGGGGTTTTCCCTTTCGGGGGTTGGGAGGTCAGACGGCAGTCGCTCCCGTAAAAACCAACACCGCCACATCAACTTATGGAAGTCAACAGAAGGATATGGCATAGGGATAGGGCGCCGCCGCAAAACGGCGCGCAGGAGCCTCGCCCGACTTCTGTGGCAAGTGGACTAGGGCTACCGTGTCAAGGGTGGGCACGGTTAAAGAGGCGAGCCCCTACCCATCACAGGAAGCTCCGCTTTGCCACGTGGAACATTGGCACGCTGACTGGACGCGCGAGGGAGCTAGCAGACGTGCTTTCCAGGCGGAGGGTCGCCGTGGCGTTCCTGCAGGAGACTCGGTGGAAAGGCAGCAGATCCCGGCTCATTGGGAATGGCTACAAGCTGATCTACACCGGTGCTCCTAGGGGCGTGAACGGGGTGGCCGTGGTGCTCTCCGAGGAGTTTCACGATCACGTCCTGGAAGTGAAACGCTTTAGCGACCGGCTTATGGTAGTGAGGGTGCTTATTGAAGGGGTCGTGACCCACTTGATAAGCGCCTACGCACCTCAGGCCGGTTGCAGCGACACGGACAGGGCGAGGTTCTGGGATCAACTCGGGGAAGTGCTGAGTGCCATTCCTTTGGCGCAGGCAGTCGTCTTGGGTGGCGACCTGAACGGTCATGTGGGTGAGGCGTGCGAAGGGTTCGAGCGGGTCCACGGTGGCTACGGGTACGGCAGTCGCAACGCGGAGGGAGGAGACATCCTCACAACGTGTGCGGCGGCCAACCTCGCCATCGTGAACACGTTCTTTAAAAAGAACCCAGAGCATTTAATCACCTACAGGAGCGGCGGACACGCCACCCAAATCGATTTCCTACTCACCAGGAGACACCATATCAGCAAAGTGGCCAACTGCAAGGTCATACCAGGTGAGAGTCTCACTGCGCAACACCGTCTTCTTGTCATGGATCTCTGCGTAAAGCCGGTCGACAAGCCCGCTGAGCGCTGCCGACGCCAAATCAGATGGTGGCGGCTTGATAGTACCACGTCCCAGGAGTTCATCTCAGCGATCGGCGATAAATGCGCCGACACTGAAGGTGATCTAGTCCAGAACCACTGGGACAACATTCAGGCTGCCATATCTGAGGCGGCGAAAGCGGTGCTGGGCTTGTCCAAGGGTGGTCGCAAATGTGACAAAGAAACTTGGTGGTGGAACGACACAGTCCAGAGGGAGGTGAGGGTGAAGAAAGCCCTCTTCAAAACGTGGCAAGCGTCCGGATCTTCTGAAGACCGCGATGCATATAGGGATGCCAAACGTGCCGCTAAGAAAGCTGTAGCCAGAGCCAGACGGGACCACTTGCAGCCGTTGTACGACAAGTTGGAATCGTCTGAGGGGCAGAAGCTTATCTTTAAGCTGGCACGTTCGAGGGTCTTAGCGGCACAAGATATTTCCAAGTGTCGCTGCATTAAAGACTCTCATGGCAACCTTATATGCGAGGTCGACGCGGTGAAGGAGAGATGGCGCTCATATTTCCACGAGTTGCTGAATCAGCAGCACGGAGAGGTACAGCCACCGGTCCTCCCTCCAAATCAGGGACTAGTGCGACCGGTAACGCCTGAGGAAGTCCACTTAGCTCTTCGTCGCATGAAGAATCGGAAAGCTGTCGGAGCCGATGGGGTTCCCATCGAGGCCTGGAAGGCAATGGGTCCCCGTGGTGTGGGCATCCTTACCGGCCTCTTTAATCGCGTGCTCTTCACCGGTAAAATCCCTAACCAATGGAGACTGAGTATTATCAAAGGGAAGGGATCAGTGCAGGAGTGCAAGTGTGGCGATTATAGGGGCATAAAGGTCATGTCCCACACCATGAAGCTCTTCGAGCGTATAATAGACTCTCGGATCCGACAGGAGAGTGCTGTCTCGGAGGGTCAGTATGGGTTTCGGCCTGGTCTTGGGACCATGGATCCTGTTTTTGCCCTAAGGGTCATCATGGAGAAATACAGATTGAAGAATACGCCTCTGCATTTCATGTTTCTTGACATGCAGAAGGCCTTCGACTGTATCCCCCGTGTAATGATCTGGTGAGCACTGAGATCCAAAGGGGTACCAGAAGCTTATATTGACATCATCCGAGACATGTACCGCGATTCCGATTCCATGGTTAGGACTGCTGTTGGTGACACTAAACCCTTCCCTGTCACAGTCGGAGTTCACCAGGGCTCAGTTCTCAGTCCCTATCTGTTCAGCGTGGTATTAGACGAGGTCTCAAGCTCCATCCGAGACACGCATGAGCAACCCCCGTGGATGCTTATGTATGCTGACGATATTGCGCTGGCGGATGCGGATAGAGGGAGACTGGTACGACGAGTGAATTTGTAGAAGGAGTCGCTTGAGAACGGCGGTCTGAGACTAAATGTGGCGAAGACTGAGTACATGGTCTGCAACGCTACAGATCCCCTACCCGTTCGCATAGGCGAAGACGTGGTCGAGCCTACGGGCCAGTTTAAATACTTGGGATCTGTACTCAGCGCGTCCGGAGACATCGACTGCGACGTCAGAGCCCGAATCGCAGCCGCTTGGGCAAAGTGGCGTGAGGTGACTGGTGTCATTTGTGACCCCAAGATTTCCGGTTAAGCTGAAAGGACAGGTCTATAAATCCATCATTAGGCCTGTCCTTTTATATGGTAGTGAAACGTGGGCCGTACTTGAGCGCCATAAGCAGGAGCTGCGTGTCACGGAAATGAAGATGCTGCGCTGGATGTGTGGAGTTTCACGGAAAGACTGTGTCAGAAGCTCCCGCATCCGCGGCAGCCTTCACGACCGTGACATTGCAGATAAACTGCAAGAAAGCCGCCTACGTTGGTACGGCCACATCTTACGGAAACCGGCATGCTACGTGGGAAACAAATGTCTGGCTATGCCGCCTCCGCCGGGCCCCGGTAGAAGGGGCAGACCCAAGAAGTGCTGGCTTGACGTCGCCAAGGGTGATATGCGTGCCAATGGTCTCACCACTAAGGATGCCGAAGACCGTGCAAAGTGGAGGAGAAAAGGCAGGAAAGCGGACCCCGGGCTTCGCAGCAACACTGCTGAGGACGCAACCGGGACAACGCTCAGATGAGAGAGAGAGAGAGCACTATCCTATTCCACTTTAAACTAGATTTCACAAAATAATTGAAAGTCAAAATAAAAACGACACTTTTCCCTCCAGAAGGTCCAGAGCGAATCCTTATATTTTAAGCGAATAATGACAGCATATGATTTAGAAAACATACAGCCTTTTCCAAATGTAGAAAAAAAAATGTAGAAAAATCTACTAACATTCAATTTTGGAACTGATAAAATGTACTCCCCATACTTACCAAAAAAATGTGCGTTATTTACGCCAGAACAACTCGTCAAGTCTATACCATAGTAATTTAAAAAATCAACTTTCAGAGTCGAGCAGTGTCGTCGTTCTAGCACCTTTGTCGCTAGATCTAGAGGATTTTATGCATGTTTAGCGGGTAAAAATTTAGTGTTAGCGAGAAAAAAATATTTACCTACTTCTAGCGTCTTTTTGCCCGTTAGGCTCTTTTCATAAACAAAAATTATAACCAGTCAATCGAATACGGTAAATTAGTAATATTCGGCAAATTTTCTAATCTAACGCTGGTAACACTAACGTAGAATCAGACTGAGCGGATTCGCTCTGGACCTTTTGAAGGGAAAAGTGTCGTTTTTATTTTGACTTTCAATTGTTTTGTGAAATCTGGTTTAAAGTGAAATAGGAAAAAAAAAACAAAGAAGCATTTATTTACTAGATAAAAGTAATTACAGTATCCATTGTTGGGGCTACTTGTAAGTAGAAGTTACTTGTGTTAGAAGCCCCGCTCTTCAGGGTTACAATTTATTTATATTTTTTTTTATCCGTAAATATTTAACTAAAATAAAACTAAGAAAGATGCGGATAGTTAATGTGTATGTATGGTATATGTCTGTGTCAGTCTATAAGTCTGTGTGTGTGCGTGCGTGTGTGTGTGTGCGTGTGTGTGTGTGTGTGTGTATGTGTGTGTGTGTGTGTGTGCGCGCGTGCGTGTGGTTGTGTGTTTGTGTGTGTGTGTGTGTGTGTGTTTGTATGTGTGTGTGTGCGTGTGTGTGTGTTTGTATGTGTGTGTGTGCGTGTGTATGTGTGTGCTTGCGTGCGTAACAGAACGTATAAGTACTACATATCTGGTTGTGTAAATAAATATTGATTTAATTTATTATGCATTTATTTATTTATTTTAGGAGGTTACTCACCAATCCTTATTAGAGCCTCAATGTCATCATACGTTTTTATTTTTAGCCAATCCTCTAGTATCTTTTTACCTTCCCGGGAAGCTTTACAATAAATATTGGTTTCTTTGTTGACAAGGTTGTATAGATAGGTGGATAATTTTATAAATTGTCTTTGAGCATACGTCGTACGTACCCTAATCTCGGGTGGAAATGCCGTTCGGTACCAGGCTAGCAGAAGTCACGTGGCGTCCACACTGCACTCGCGCTCGCTCAATGGGCAATCTCCTCGCGTATATGTACTCTTAATATTTCA